TGCACGGGGTGGGTACTACTCTTCTCTACATTTTGCAGGGGGAAGAAACAGGCTTACTGAGGTTAACCTGCTAGTAAGCGGCTGAACCACGGTTTGAACTCTGGTTGGTCTGGTTCAGGAGCGGCAGTTCTTATCCATGTGGAACTTCACTATCCCATATGGTGGTCACTAGCCACATAGAGCTATTTAAATGAAATGCAATAAAAAATCCAGTTCTTCAATCACACTAGCCGCATTTCATGTGCTCCTTAGCTATATGAGGCTAGTGGCTGCCACATTGGACAACACAGAATATTTCCACCATCATAGAAAGTTCTGTTGGACAGCGCTGTATAGAATATTAAAGGTGGAAAGGCCTCTGTACTGTTTAGCCTCATCCCCACCCCAACCTCCCTATTACAGATGAGGAAACTGGGGCCCATGTTGGGGCAGACCCCTGCCTAAGACCTCCCAGAAGGGCTGAGATCTGAGATTCTGTCCCTCCGGTGTCTGTCTGTCTCACACACACACCCCTCCCTGCCCACATTCTGTGACCCTCTCATTCACACGGGTACACACATCATGCCCAGGGTGACACAGTGTGCTTTGTCACAGCCAGAGCCTCATGGCATCACATACACAAGGACACTGACGGGACTGCCGACACACCTATGGGCAGACATGCCCCCTCGACCCCTTTGCACCCAGGAACACTTTCACAGGCACTCCCAGGACCCGCCCAGGGACATCCCCCCTCATGCAGGGCCCTCACACGCAAGCCTCATCCCTTCCTCTTGGGACCCCTGGTCACTCCCTCCCACCTGCCCTCCCCACCTTGGCCTCCTCCCCTCTCCCGCCCTGTCCTGTTTCCAAGTTCCTGCCCGCCCACCTGCTGGCCACCTGCTCAGCTCAGGGCCATGGGGTGAGTGGGCTGGCTCTTCTGTTTGCCAAGGCTGCTGGGCTGTGGCCACTCGCTCATGCAGGAAGAGAATGCAGAAATATGCCTTTTTTTAAACAAAAGATAAAAAGAGGAAGTTAGGACTGCAGGCTCGCTGCCCCCACTCTCCTTTTTGCTCCAGTGTCTCCTCTGCCCCTCATCTCCCTGATCCCCAGCACCATGGCAGGCAAGGGCGAGCCTTCCCACTAATGGATGGAGCCCTGAGGCTGCATAAGTGGAAAGAGGGGCTCCCTGGCCCAGGCCCTGTCCTCAGCCCATTCGAGGCTCCACGCTCCTGGCACTGTGCCCAGTGTTTGCACGTGTCACCCTACTTAATCTCCCCAACAAACCCAGGAGGTAGATTCTATTATTGCCCCCATTTTACAGGAGGAAACAGAGAGGTGAAGTGCCAAGTTCAGTATCACACAGTGAGTTGGGGGCGAGTCACTATTGGACCACAGGACTTTGTGAGCCCAGAGGCCCTGTTCTTGAGGGTCACACGCTCCTGCCTTTGGTGTCATCAGAAGAACAAGTGCAGGTGACCTGGATTTCTTCACAGCTTCACTAGGACTGTGCCTGCTCACACGAGGCCTCAGTTTCATGATCTGTTAAATGGGGGCTCCCTCATTCCAACTTTGCAGGGTTGCTATGAGAGTCAAGAAGAAGCTTAGTGGTCAATGTGCATTTGAAGGGAGGACACCTTCTCGGTATGTGAGAGGCTGGTGTCCTCTGGATCAGTAGCTCTGAACTGGTTTTGACAGACTCCTCTCGCTGAGCATCTGCTAAAAGCTATGCATCCTTGCCCCAGAAAAAAATGCACATAACTACACTCAGAGGCACAGGGTATCCTTGGGGGGTACAGGACCCCTGTGGCTACCCCACCCATGTCCTGGACCACTCGTTAGAACCTGAGATTTACAGAACAAAACTTTGGCACTGCATTCTGAGGAGGAAGTTCAGCAAATGTGCCTTCTCTTGTTCACAGACATGACTCTTAGGTCCTCGGCTCCTGGGGCAGAGCCCAGTCATGGGGCCTGTCGTGCCTCCTTGCGCAGAGCCGCATGTGATGGTGCGCCCCATCAGTGCTGATTTCCAGGGGGCCCGGCATCCAGCAGGACTTCCCCAGAAGGCGGGCAGCGCAGTGCCCAGCAGGCTGAGACAGTGTGTTAAATGAGCATACAGATTCCCTGGGCCCACACCCAGAGGTTCTGGTTTGGTAGGTCAGGCGGGGCCATGGAATATGTATTTTTAAAAGATCTCCAAGGATCTTGAGGATTCTGAGGCAGCCAATTTGATAACCATTGATTTAAGGTCTTTACCTAGAATGGAGTTTTGTTTCTCTAGTTGAGAAATTATATTCCTCCCTCCCTCCATCCACCTCATGTTATTTGAACTCCAGCTCAGGACCAAGCATGGGCTAGCTTGCTGGCGAGCAAGAGAAGACGCAGCTCGCTCACTCAGGAGCTTATAGCCTCCCTCCTTCCCTGCCCCTCCTCTCCCTGGAGTTCTCAGAACCTTTCCTGGAAGTGGCCACTTTGAACATTCTCTCCCCCAGGGCCTTTGAGGATCGTGGCCTCCAGCTGGGCAGTGACCTTAAGGTCTTCAGGTCTGTCGCCCTGCCAGGGTAGGGTGGGCACCTTTGAGAGCAGTGTGCCCCACCTTCCTCAGATGCCTGTTCCTATTCCTAACACCCCTCACTGAAAATCCTCTCCCCTGTCCCACGTCAGTCCCTCTTGCTGTTGCTCACATCCACCTCCTGTTCCTGTAAGTAGTATTTATGGAGGCCTGATTGGCAGCAGACGTGTGGTACCCACACGGGGGCGTAGAGAAGACGGTTAAGGTCCTGGCCCTCAGGAACTTACTGTTGGGTGGGAGAGACAAACTGGACGAGCACCTGCCACCTGGGCTCGACGGGGAGGTGCGAGGTGCTCTGGGAGTGCCAACGAGGGGCCCCGTAGCGGGGAGGCTCCTCAGGGAAGGTGGCCTGGGTCTGGCTGCTGCTCCAGGTGAAGGACAGGCAGGGGCTGCGCAGCCCAGGGAGGGTCCGATGCTGTGCGAAACTATCCCTTTGTCATGAATTCTGGCCTTCTCTGGCTTTCCTATGAAGTCATATTTCCTGGTCTCTAGCCTCCCTCCCAGACCTTTCTTCCTCATCCTTCTGCACAGTTCCCCACCTGCTCCCTTCATACTGCCCAGACACAAAGCCAGTGACACAATGCCCAGGGGTGTGTGTGTTGCGGGCATCTGTGCCAGGCTGCAGGCTTCTTCACTGCCTGCCGGGGTCCTCCCCTGCTCCCATCAGCCTCATCTTTGTGGCTTGGACCTGCTGGTACGCTTAGGAGTGGGGATCAGAGTTTGGAGGATGTGATGGGGTGAGACGACGTCCTGAACTTGGGCGTGCAGGCCAGGAAACGGCAGACTCACTTGCTCAGGGAGAAGTAAAAAACCTGGGAGTGCCAATACCTGAGTTCTGGACTCGACACTGACTGTAGCTAGCTGTGTAACCTTGAGCAATCTACACTAAGCTATGCTGAAGCTCAAAATCTTGAGCCCCACTCCAGACTTAAGGAATCAGAATCTACATTTTAACGAGACATGGGGTAATTCATATGGACATTAAAATTGGGGAAGCCTGCCCTGCAGACTTGTTTCTTGCCATTAGCCTGTGGTTAGGGCAGTAATGCTAGTGACCATGGTCAGTGTCCAGCCCTTTAGGGGCCTCCTCTGTGATATGAAGGGGTTGGACCAGATGACCTTTGTGGTGGAGGGTACAACATGGCGCCTAGATGCCAGATCTGGTTCTCAAACTAGTTTTGTTTGGCCCAATACTATGTTTACATTTTTTTGGAATAAGTGCCAGTATTTAAAAGTTGGGAAATTTTGTATAAATATCCAGACTTCCTGCTTTTCTTGAAAAATCAAATAATCTGGGAAATGGGTCACATTCCACATGGCAACAATCAATGTCCCCTCTGAACAGTGAAACTCATAGCCCTCGCTCCAAGTTCTCTTCCAACCACGAATACTTTGAGGATAAAACCTCAGGAACCTCTTAAAACATGCGAAAAGACGCTCAGCCTGACTTAGTATGAGAATTAGGACTCAAATCTACACCGAGTTGCTGTGTCCCACCTGTCTCACAAGCAAAGATAAGAAAGTTTGATAACACATCGTGTTGACAAGGGTGGAGGAAATGGTCCCCTCACATGCTAGTGGGAAAGTAAGTTGGTACCATCTCTAAGATGGAAAATCTCTCATCATCTATCACAATTACCAAACAACACCTACCCTTTGACCAAGTAACACCAGCTCTAGAAGTTTATCCACAGACACTTGCACACATGGGGAATGCAATTCTCATGCACACATAGGTGGTTGGTTATTGCAGCGCTGTTTGTAATAGCTATAGTTTGGAACTAACTTGATTGCCCATTGATAGGGGACTGGCTAGGTAAATTATAGGACCATAGCCAAATGATTAAATACCATATAATGAGGAGCTCTTTATGTTATAACATGGAAAGAGGATCTCCAAAATATCTACTAAGAAAAGGAGGATGCAGAACAGCTTGCAAGGTCCAGGCCCATTTGTGTGGGGGAGAGTATCTGTGGAAAGATGCTCTGGTAACATTGGCTGTCTCTGAGGAGGGGACCTCAGAGACTGGGGTACAGGGATGGGAGGGAGTCTTTTCACTGTCTACACTTTTGTATCTTTTGAACTTTGAACCATGTAAATGTGTTACCTACTCAAAGAATAAAAACTAAAAACTTTCAGGGACCTAGATTCTGTGATTGTAACACTACGTGATTCTAATGTTTTACAGTTTGGTGAGCCTAACTTATTACAACTCTGGAAAGCTCATCTCTTGTGAGGCCAAGCTCCTAATAATCCACTGCCAGCAGTTCTCCTGGGTCTCGGGCCCTGCTCTGTCCCTGAGTCAGGCCCCAGCAGCCCTTATGAGCTCAAGCAGCCCTGAAGGAGGGCTCCCTACCTAGTACGGTGCAGCTGCGTGAACTCCAGCGTCTCCTGGGGATGTAGCCCTTGGGCCCTCCCTCACCTTCTTTGCCTTCTCTGTCCTCCTAGGGGAGCCTTCTCAGTGGTGCGCAGGTGTGTGAAGGTGCTGGCTGGCCAGGAGTATGCTGCCAAGATCATCAACACCAAGAAGCTCTCAGCCAGAGGTAGGTGATGAATCCATGCCTGGCCTACCCTCCAGGGCTCTCCTTCCCTTCACTCCTCCCTGTGCCTCTTGGGTTAGAACCAGGACCTGGGTCTGTCCCCCTGGGTGATGCTGCCAGCAGGGGTGGAGGCTCTTCTCCTGGGGGTATTATGAGAACAGACACCTCCGGTTTCCTTCCTTAGGGAATTTAGGCTGGAGGCCACAGCCTCTCCAATGGGCCAGGTTCTCCGCCCCCGACCCAGGTGAAGGCTGAGGTGCCAGGTGGGACTTCCTTACCCTGCTCTTCTGTCACTCGCCTCCACTCTCACCTCCAGATCTCTGCATCCACTGTTCCCTCTGCCTGGATGCCCTTACCTGGCCCCTTACAAGGCTTGCTCTTTCTCAACCTTCAGGCCTCAGCTCAATGTCCTTTGAGAGACTTCCCTGACCACCAAGTCTGATGGGATCCCCTCATTTTATATCTCTCATTACTGTTTACTTTCTTAGTGGCTTTTCCCCAACCTGGACTTATCTTATTTACTGGCTTAGTTCCTTGTTTAACATCCATCTTCCCTCTTGACTAAAAGCTCCAGGAGGGTGGGGATGGGTCTCACGCTGTGCTATATGCCCAGCACCTAGGACAGCGCCCGGTATCCGAGGTGCTCAGCCGCTATCCAGCGAGCTCTAGGTGCACTCTGCTTCAGCCCCTCCGGTCCGCTCTCTGGTCCCTAAATACTCCTTGGGACAGTGCCTCCCGAGCCTGTCCTCGCACTGGAATCCCCGGGAGAGCTTCAAGTACTCCTGATACTTGGGTCCTAACCCCAGAGGTTGTGATTTAATTAGTCTGGGGTGGGACCTGGGTTTTAGAAAAGATCCCAGGTTAATTCTAATTTGGAAGTGGTCCTAGACCAACAGCATCAGCATCACCAGGAGATTGTTAGGAATGCGAATTCTTGATTCCAGACTTAAGGAATCTGAATCTGCATTTTAACAAGACCCTCGGGTGGTTCATGTGGACATAAAACTTGGGAAGCCTGCCTGGGAGCCTTGCTTCTTGCCTTTAGCATGTGGTCAGGGCAGTGAGGGTGGTGACTACGGCCAGAGTGTTGGGGAGGACTATCTTCAAAGATACCATCTCCGCTCTGAACGGTGTCTAAGCTGCCTTGGGGACCCCTTGGGGTGGAGGGAATTCTGTTGGGTGAGGTGGGTGCCGATGCGAGCTGTGCAGACCATGGCTTGTGTGGCGCGGGAGACGTGGTGTGAGCGGCTGGCATAGTGTGCAGGTGTTGGCCTGGCAGAGGCGGCAGCTGTTTCTGGGCTGGGGCCCAGCAGGTGTGGCTGGTACAGGATGTTCACACTGTCACCCACAGGCCTCCCAGCAGGCCGCTAGTTGGACTGCATGTTGCTGCCTTTCATCTCTCTGGCTCAGTGTTGCTGGGAGCCCAGCACTTTCTCCTAGTTACTGAACTCCCCTGTAGTCAGGCCTGTGTGCTGCAGTGGGAGGAGGCTGGGGGGTGGGGTGGGGTGGGGATGGAGGTGTGAGCAGGCTTCCTTCTCTTGGTTCCAAGGCAGGAGAGGGCTGGATCCAGCTGGGCTGCTTCCATCCAAGCTGGCGCAGCAGTGGCTCTGTCACTGGGCCCAATATTTTTAAGCCACATTTGGTGGCTTTCCAGTAGCAAAATGACTCAAAGTAAACAGTCCTCAAATCCCCTTCTCTCTTTTCTCCCTCTGCAAATCCAGCACCTAAAAACACAGGCGGGTGCCACCTGCGTGTTGGAGGAGCAGCTCCCCAGACCCCAGGGGAGATCCTCACAGACCATCAACCG